GTAATCAGAAAACAACATCCTATCCTCTTTGCGCGTTAGCAGGGAGTACGGTGGTACTGGGGGGGGGCTCGAAACATTGTGCGTTGGGTCCTTTGTGGGCACCAACTAAAACACCGAGAAACCGGATTGATTTGACATCTCCTCGCCATGGTGTCACACACACACTATAGAGACACTTGGTGTTTTCCACCGCGCTGAGACTGACGTCTTTCCATTGATCAGCCGGTTAGCGCGGTCGATGTTAATAATAATACACACACACACACAATATCAAGCCCCTGTCTCTCTCCCTCCTTCCACACGCACGCCGCAGCACGCAACCAACCCCCTTTCTCTCTTTACCTGCGATTGGCGACGTTGACCATCCCGGGCAACTTGTGCTCCCCGCAGTACAGCGGCCGCTCCTGGTCGTTGCCGAAGTGGGGCACCTTGCTGCACTCCGGGTGCTTGCAGCACCGGCTCACGATGTTCATCTGTCCCGGAAGCTTGTGGACGCCGCAGAAGCGCGGTCGAACCGCGCCGTTGGCGGCGTACCGCGGCTGCGTCGTGCACCCGGGCACCTCGCACCGACCCCCGCCCCGCGCGCCCGTGTCCTGCTGCCCCCCCGGCGCCGCCCCCGCCCCCGCCCCCGTGCTGCTGCTACTACTACTACCGCCCCCGCTCGCCGTCGTCACCGTCACCGCCGCCGCCACCGCCCCGCTGCTGCCCTTGGCGTCGAAACCGGCACCGGCGCCGCCTCCGCGGGGGGAGACGCCGGTGATGAAAGTACTGTTGCCGTTACTGATAACGCTGTGGCTGCCGCCTTCTGGATTGGCGGCGGCGGCAGCGGCGGCGGCAGCCGCGGCGGAGATGGTAGAAGCGGGGGCAGACCGTTTCCTGCGATGCAGCTGCTGTTGTTGATGCTGCTGATGTTGTTGTAGTAGCGGCGGGGAGAGCTGCTGCTGCTGCTGCTGCTGCTGTTGCTGCTGCTGTGCGGCCGGGATGTTGGATCTAGCGGCGGCCGCGAGAGAGGTCGAGGAAGTGGAGTCTGTGGGCGACAGCGATAGGGCGGCCACCGAAGAAACCACCGCGGAACGTGGGGAGAGCAAGGGCTGGGGGAGAGAGGGTGACAGGCCCGCGTGGCGCCGGCAGAACCTGCGGAGGGGGGGGGGGGCATCAGCGGGGTAAAGGTAGCGGGGGCGATCAGCGGGGCAATGGTTGACAAGAGTCGGTGAGGAATGGATTCTATTTGTCCATGCGCAACGTTTGCATGGATCCGGCGAACAAAATATTCAGTGTTGTTTTTCATTGCAACCCCAAAAAACCCCTGCATTTTCGATACAGATCGTGTCGAATATAGACTACATGGAGGAATTGGGTATTAGAGAAGAACTTCAGATGCTTTAATAATACTCCAGTAGTGGCCTCGTTGGGGTTGGTTTATGTCTCGATGCCGTGTGTGCTACTGACTCTTTCTAGAATTAGCGATATCTCCATTTGTGTGTGTGTTCACAGACTCTATTTAGAATGGCCATGTCTCCATGTTGTGTATGCGTGGGTATTGCTGCCTGTCCCATTTATTCCAGACGCCCACACACCTTTCGGTACATGCAAGTAATGTCTGGCGGCCCAAGTTCAGACAGGAGGAAGGCAGATGCGGGAGTTGGTTTTTCTACGTTTTCTCCTGCCGTGCTTACCTTCGTCAAGAGGAGACCTTGTCTCTTCTCTTGCGTGTACGCATGATGACCATTTCTTAAGCGCTTTTTCTCCTGAAAAAATTGGGATTTTTGTTTTTTGCTCCAGAATGCAGGTTCAAGCTCAACCTAGAGCCAGAACGTATTACGAGGAGGCTAGCTCTACAAACTTACCGACCCAACAACCCACCATTGCTGTGACGTGCGACCTGATGATGAGCCTAGGCCTCTGTAAAAAAAAAACAGTGCATGTACCGCCCGCCCCCTATAGAGAACAAAAAGAAAAAAGTTCCTGTTTACTGCTGAATACGTAGCGGCAACAACAAAACAACTGCAGCAGTCAGCAGGATGGTACGCGCCACCTTTTTTTTTTTCTCGCGAAAAATTTGCAGTTGTGAAAGTGAGTCTACACCATATTTCAGGATACAATACTCCGAGGGCCGTTTTAGACACGACTGTCTGCCGTCAAAAACGCCCCTTTAGTATTTTTGGTATGTTTGAGCGTACCATAAACTCAGTCAAAAATTCAACTCTAAAACCTAATTTGTACATAAATATATGCGTAAATACAAGGGGTTTCTTCGGAGTGGGCTGGCTCATGAGAGGACAGCAGTGTCATCAGAGGAGTGATGCAGGACGAAAATAAACGCAGGCAGCAGGACCACCCAACGCCTGGATGCCAGCTGGCCATTATGACATTTGCCAAGAGCTGACATGTTAAAATCCCTAAGAGCCCTAGCGAATTTCAAAGAACCCAAAAAGAAAAATGATACAAACCTGGATTACCCCCCACACAGATGAAATGAGGAAACGAGCCTCTGTGGGGGCAAAAACAAGAGCATATTATTGTAGTAGGCTGGGCGGACGCGGGCCTCTGGACGGTCTCGTCGCATGATGTCGGAATTCCGGCGTCTAGGCATACACATGTACCAAGAAATACTCCGTACACCTCCCAAGAGGAGGAGCAGCAGGCGGCGGCGCGCTCCCGACCCACGCCGACCGACTTTTTTTTAGCGAAACAGAGGATAAATTCATCTATCTATTCCACAGAGACCCCAACTCAGAGCCGTTGTTGGGGGAGGACTGCCCAAAACGGGAGTTGTTGTTGTTGTTGTTGTTGTCTTCACATTAAAAACCGTTCCGATCTCTCTCTACCGGAGTGCAAATATATATATATATTGTCTCTGGAGTTATGTTAGTTTTGGTCCGACAACGCACGCACGCACGCACGCATATGTATATGTGTGAGTGAAAACTCCGGCCGTTTCTCTTCTAAACCAAAAAACACCGATCGATGATGATGCCAAGACCAACAACATAATTGATTGTGGCGCGGACACATGATGCAACGAGTTCCGGGTTTGAAACAGACAGTCAGCCAGCAGCAGCGCTTGCTACATGCAGCATGCATGCATGCCGCGCGCTTATATGCATTCAATACAGAGATAGCAAAAAACCAAAAAATAGCGGGCCAACTTTTTCTCACCCCCCGACGTGGCCTCCTCCCCCGCTCGCTCCCTCCATCACGGCCAAGTCTCCGCACCGCTCTGCGCAGCAAAAACCGCCCTGCTGCTGCTGCTGAGACGCCGCCGGCAGATAGTGCGCCAGCGACCCTCCTCCCCCCGCGGCTCCCGCCCCGCCATGCCTCCAAAGCTCCAGCCCGCGCCCGCCGTTGTTGTTGTTGCTCAACGTGGGGGCCTGCACAAACGACCCGATCCCTGCAGCACCGGCCGTCGACGTTGGGCGTGGCCGTTTTCTGGACGCATCGGAGGAGAGGATCTCCGAAGATATTTGTTGCTGCACCCCCCCCCCCCCCCCCCTTAG